CTCCGGGTCCCTGCTCCGGCTTTTCTCGGGTCCTGCAGCCGAGACCCCCAGGCCGATCCTCACTGAGACACGCCCCCCTCCCCCTCCGTCTCTCTCCAGCGGGAATTCCGGCGCTCTGAGGTCCTCTGAGAAGGGGTCCCGGGAGCAAGGGGGTCTGTGACTCGGGGCAGCCTCTATCCCGACGGCTGGGGCACTCTGGGGCCGGAGGGGAAGGCTGGGGCGCCAGGCCGAAGCTGAGGTCTATCCCTGACCGGGGTTTGAGCCTGGGTATTGAAGTTGTGTGTGCATTTTGAGATCTCTGCGCGGACAAACAGTGGTCCTGGGAGCCGGGAATTCAGGGACCTGCCAGGACATGGGCTGAGCATTGTGATTCTCACTCACTCATTACTGTCCAGTGGGAACTGACCCATAGCTGACCCTCCAGTGGGTTTTCAGAGGCAGTTAATCGCGCGGGAGGAGATCGTCCATCCTTCTCCCGCAGAGACTGTAAGTCACCTGGTCTTCGGTGGTAGGGGGCTGTGCGGCCAGCCCAGAGGCAGCGAGAACCCACCCTCCCTGCGAGGGAAAGCGGACATCAGTATCATCACCTTCCTCTGGAACTAGCTGGAGAGGCAGCTCCCTCCCTTCACAGTACGTAACAACAGCAAATCACACAGGGGAGACTGTCCATTATCTCGCCTGTTAGCCACCAGCCACCATAGCGCCCTTGTTATTTTTAGCTGCCAGGGCCCAACAATCTGCTTTTATAAGCTCACTTGTGGAAATCATGGAAGAGCTGAGGGCATGGGGTGGGGGGGCGGCAAAGCTTTCTTCTGGAAACTAGTTTTGAGTTTCAAAGTCTAGACCTTGTGTTGCTATAAGTCTCAGGCCTCCCGGTGTGCAGGACCCAGCAGCTCCACAGGATTGATTACAGGCTGAGACCTTGGGAACAAGGTGCCAGGGCTGCCATGGGTGGGTTTGAACAGTTAATCTTCCAGCTGAGTAGTTGCATATGTAACCATTGCACTACCCAGGGACTGGGGAAGTTGTGCAGCCCCGGGCATCCCTCTGACTCCTTTTAGTGGAAAGTGCAGGAGTTTCCCTCCCCAGACCAGTTTCCTTATGCGAGTGTCGAGTGTTGCTGTCCAGACAGCTGCCTAGTCCCTGGGGAGTTGTGCTGCGGGCTCAGGCTCTGCTCCTTTCATGGTTTGACCATCTACAGCGGAATGATGGGCCATGTCCACAGGTGTGATTTATGACCTTGGAAACCTCCTAGAGGCTCAACTCAGTTGGTTCTGACTCCCTGAGTTTTGACAATGACATTCAGTTGACAATGAGTTTTGAGAGCGAGACTGTCACTACTCGTGGGTCAACACAAATGCAATTCTGTTTTTAGGACAGGGGCTCAAAGGCTGACCTCCCTCAGGCCTTCTCACCACTGCACTGTTAGCAATGTCACATTGCAGACAGGTTCTGAGCACCCAGGCCCCAGGCCCCCCCTCCCCCGCTGGCCCATCTGTGGGTCTGAATCTGTTTCCTGCACTGCAGCAGCACCTTTGCATCTGTCACCATCCCCCACCCCCAGGGCTCCAGCCAGGCCCTGCGCTCATGTCATTTCCTTGAGGGGGAGACCCTTGCCCTGCCCATTACCTCTTCTCAGGACATGTCCATTCCTTGTCCCCTCCTTCCTTCTGTCCTGCCCTGGGGCAGGTCTTCTCTGGGGTGATTGCTCTGTCTCCACCACCTTAGATCCACAGTGGCACACGATAGGTGCCCAGTTAAAGTTTGGGCCAGCTCAGCAATGCAAAGCAATGCTGAAAGAGCACATGCTGAATGAACTAGTAAGTGGACTGGCTTCCCACGCAAGGAAGGAGAGTGAGGACCGGTGGGGAGCAGGCTGCAGGCCAGAGTCCATGGAAGCCTTACTGCCCTTGGGCTGAGCAGCAGCGATGGGCCCCTTGCCCTTGAAGGCTGGGGTTGGTGAGCAGGTGACACCAACTGAGCTGAGCAGCTGGACAGTGCATGGCAGCGCCATGACGTGGACCCGAGCTGACCAGCTGGGCAGTGTATGGCAGCTCCGTGAGGTAGAGGTGGACCTGAGCTGACCAGCTGGGCAGTGCATGGCAGCTCTGTGAGTGGAGGTGGACCCTGACCTCTAACTCTGCCTGCCTAGAAGAAGTAAGTCTCTAGTTTGTCCTGAGACCTCCTTCAAGGAGCTCAGGAGAGCAGCCCTTGAGAGGCCAAACTGTGAAATGGACACCAGACCACTCTGGGCAAGGCACTCGCCGGGTTGCTGTGGCGTTGGCACGGGAAGAAAACCATGTAGTCAAAGGTAGTTGGGCTAAAAGAGAAATCCAGGCCATAGGAGACCCACCTGGTCTGGGGCTTGCGGAGCCCCCAGGATGGTAATGGAGGGAAAGGGAAAGGGCTGGGTCAGTGTTGGCCCTCTGGGAAGGAGGAAGAGGCTAGTTCACTGAACCAGGAGGACAAGAGGCCCCAGTCCAACTACCTGGGGAACTGACTGGAGACAAGGCCACAGGCCAGCCCACAGACGGGGCCAGCAGGAGCTGGAGGACCTTGCCCTCCTCTCAGGGCCTGCATGGCTCCAACGTGGTGCACCTGGTTGGCTCTGGGTTGTGGCCCTGCCTTTCTGATACCTGCAGTGTCACCTGCTGGTGGCAAAGGGCCTCAGCACCCAGCCAGTCTCCTTTACAGTTCCCTACCCCTGAGCCTCCCCCCTCTCTGTCATGATTCTCCCCTGGGGAGGGCATTGTCACAGAGATGTCTAGGATGAGATTCCTGGGTGTCAGTCACCCAACAAGTGCCCACTGGAGGCCAGGCCACCACCCCCTGAGAGCACAAAAACCCAGGAAAATGCTCACTAGTGAAAGGGCCAATGCTTTTTAGGCGGTGTGGACTGTGTTTAACCACACTTGTTGAGCAGGTAGGTGAGGGAGCTTTGAAGATACAGTCCTTGGCTAAAGGACACTCAAGACTGAAGGCAGTGCGGGGGGAGGGGGGGTGTGTACAGGGGGGATGGTCCTCAGAATACAGGCTGTGCAAGTGGGGGATGACCCCAGGATGGGGAGCTGCACCGGGAGGGGTGTGTTCTTCAGGATGGGGGGCAGGAAAGGGGAGATGATCTTCAGGTGGTTGGAACCCCAAATATCTGACATGGATGAACCATGGCTTTGAGAGGAAAACCTCAGAAAAATAGAGATGGTCTCTTACTGGCCAGAACAGCTGTTGCCCAGTCTGAGACAGGCCTTGGGAGCCTTGGGGACAGAGGACACAGTGCCCAGGTGGATAGTTCACTGAAGTTCAGTGAGGCGCTTGGTGGGAGGTCAGCAGAGGGCTTCAGAGGGCTTGTGGGCTGGGATCAATTCACAGGGGTGTTGGGGTTTCAGCTGATTCAACTCTGAATCCAGTCATCCTAGGACACCAAGGTGGCTAATAGGGACCTTGTGGTCCACGATTAGGATGGGAAGGGAACGGGGCAGTCCATGGAGGATGGGCAAGGGATGGTCTTATGCTGGTGGTCTTTCTGACATCCCTGGCTTTGAGAGGGTTCCTTTATGGCCCCAGAGCTGGGCTGCAGGGCCTCTCCCAGCCTGGAAGCTCCGAGGCAGCCTGCTGGTCAGTGAGGGGCTGTGGGAGCCAGCAGGAAGAGGCCAGGGCAGCAGTGTGGAAAGCCCAGCGGAGCGTCTCATCAGATGGGGATCTGGGGACAGAGGAGAAAGAGGCTTTGTCCTGCCGCTGGCAGGAGGGACCACGGGAAGGGAAAGGCTGTTCACAGGAACAGAAACCTTTGTGTGAGGGGAAGCGCCCAGCTGGCTGGAGCCCCAGATCCCCTGGGGACCCTCTTAGTGGAGAGAAGGGAGCACCAGAGGCAGTTGGGGCCTGTGGTCAGAAACCTTCAGGGAAGAGAGCCAGGGGAGTTACAGAAGAAAGGTGAGGTCCCAAGAGGTGGTGCTCCATCCTCATCCCACAAGGTCACCTGGGGACAGGTTTTCTGCAGAGAGTCAAGTCTAACCCCAGAGGTCCCCACAGGTGGAGTGGGGAGAAAGGGTTGCAGCCACGTGGAAGGGCTGGCGGCAGGCAAAAGGACGATTTGAGGAAGTTCACTCAGGCCTGCTTTCCCCGCCTCCGCTGAACTGAGAAGGGGCCCGGAGGAAGGGGTTCCGGTTCCCGCACTTCCAGGCCTCGGTGCGCCTCCCCTTCCCCAGGGCAGGCCGCCTGCGAGGAGAGCACGTATGGCGCGGCCCAAGGGCAGGAAAAATCAAACCAGGGCTGGCTGCCTGTCAGCCAATCAAGAAGGAGACGGATGAGCATCGGCCAATAACTGTAGTGAATGCTAATAAGGCTATGACGTCTAGAGGTGGACCCCATTCAAAAAGTAGTTGCTATTGTGGGCAGAGCTGCGCGCGCCTGGCAGGCCTGCTGCCTCCCGGGGCCTCCTCTGGGACGCACGCCACTCAGGGGTGACGGACCCCGATACCGTTCCACGGGGGAACGCAAGGACAGGCCTCTGGACACTCAAGGACAGACGTGGAGACGGACTCCAGGAGAAATCCCAGGGTGGACCCGGGATCCGACTACCGGGCGCACGCGGGGTTAGACCCCGGGTGGGGCGCTCGCCCATGGCCGGGGCCGCTATGGCGGAGCGGGGTCGCGTGCTGCCCACCGGGCCCGCGTCGGGCCTGGGCACCGACGGGCTGCCGCGCGCCTTCCTGGAGAGCCTGCACACCCTCTTCGACATCCTGGACGACAGGCGGCGCGGCTACGTGCACCTGTCCGAGATCGAGTCCCGGTGGCAGGGCGCCGATGCGCGCGAGCTGCCTCACGGCGTGCTCGAGGGCCTGCGGCAGGCGGCCCCGGCCAGCGGCTACCTGACCTTCGAGCGCTTTGTGGCCGGTCTGCGCTCCTCGTTGTTGAGCACCGAGGGCGGCCAGCGGAGCCTGGCGCACGCCCCGGCCCGTGGGGGCGGCCCGGGACCCCGAACCACCGAGAAGCCGCCGCCACCACCACGCATGCTCTTTGCACCCGCGGACGAACCGCGCACCGTCCTGGAGAAGAAGGCTCTGCCTTCGGGCGCGCGACACCCACCAGCGGGTCCCCGGAGCCCGTCGGAGGGGGTGCCGAGGACCACGGAGCATGAGCAGAGGCTGAGCGCCGACTCTGGTGAGTGCAGGGGGCGGGGCCTGGGCTCACCCCCGGAGCGACGGCCAGGAGTTTCCCTTGGGCAGCTCTTCTGGGGGCATCTGAACCTAGAGCGGGCCTGGGAGGACCTGGAGGGACAAGGAATTCCCCAGGATACCCTCAGGAGTCTCACTGTGGGGACCCCCCGGGAAGCAACACCAGCGCCTCCGCTGCCGCATTGAGGGCATCGGACAAGGCTTATGATGTGTAGGGGGATGACCCAGGAGCACCCTCCGACTCAGCGGGCCGGGAGCTGGTGTGGCCAGAGGGAGGCTTCCACCAAGCGAGCGGGGACTCAGACTGTGCGTCCTTCAGTCCAGCTCAGATGACCCCAGGACCTGACCCCAGTTTCAGGGACAGGACAGTGAGGACCCCCCTGACAGTAGTACCAGCCCCTGGGGCTGGAACCTGGGCTCCCTGCTGGCTTCGCTCCAGTTGGCAAGGCTAGAGTACAGCTGAATGGCCCCTCTCTGCACTTGGACTTGAGTGCCCAAGTCGAGAACAAGATTCGCATTGTTATGGACCCACCCAGCTGCCAAGTACCCTCCAGCCCCCAGCCCATTCTGCACAGCTGCCCCACCAGGTGCAGTCGGCCACTGTGGGCCCTGTGCTGCCCACCAGTGCAGACTGGACCTCTGTCCCACCTCTGCCATGTCCCCAGCACAGCCTGCACCTCTGTGCTCTGTTTCCTGCCGTCCTTCCGGTGTGAGCTGAGTGAGCAGCCGCATTCCAGGCTGGGGGCTTCCAGGGGTAGCTGGCCAGTGCCTCCTTGCTGAGGGGAGTGAGCCAGGTGGAGGCGGGAGTCTGAAGGCCCTGGTGTGCTATGTGGCTGTCACTGTAGCTCCTGAGGGCCATGCATATGTCCAGTGCCCACCAGAGGGCACACTCACAGGGTGCCCAGAACAGGGCCTGAGGTGCTTGATGGTGCAACAAGGGCTTCAGGTGCCAGACCTGGCACTCCAAGGGCCCCAACTCCAAGGATGGAAAGTACCCCTTCCACACAGCTTCCCACTCCCTGCCCCAGGGGTCAGTCCACCTCCTTTCTCCCCACTGTGAGCTTGGTGGACATCACAGGCTACCTGGAGTCCAATAGAGTGATCCTGCAGAGTGTTCCATAGATTCAAGGTGCACAGTGTCCTGTGGGTGCAGGCGATGCGTCCCCACTGATGCAGGCTGTCCAGTGCCCATAAGTAGGACTGGACCTCCAATGCTGGTGACTCACCCTGCGCAGTTCTGGTTCTGCCAGCAGAGGGCGCAGGATTTGCCCTGTGGCCCTTCCCAGTGTCCAGCGGCCCCACGTGTTCCAGGGATCCTGCAGACCTGGGTCTCCCTGCCACTCAGAGGCATGAGCCCAGCCCTGCCCCATGGGCAGTAGCAGGCTTGAACAGGAACTTGGGGGCCTGCCTTGTCCGGCTGGCCAGACCAGGGAGGGATTCTCTAGCCTGCCTATCTGGCTTGGCAGGAAACCAGCGTGGCCACCTGGTGGGAACTCTGCCCTGCCCTGGCCTGTGTGTCCACCTCCTGCCTCACCCACTGGCCTCTGCACCTGGGCCCCAGGGCATGGTCTGGGAGGATGACCTTAGGCCTAGGACTGGGCTGCAGCCTCCCCTGAGTGTGTCCGCTCCACTCACCCCTGCATGGACCCCCTGCCTGGGGGATCTGCACACACAGCCCCCGTTCTCCATGGAAGCCTAGCACCCAGCACAAACTCGCCTATCCAGGTGGGGGCCCCTCAGTTCTTTCATTGTGCCCACCCCCTCCAGCTCCTGTCCCTGCACATTGAGACACTAAGGTGTGATGGTAACACAGTGTGCATGGGAATGAATCGTCCTGCACCACCCTATGCTCCCCCCATCACCCCCACTCCTAGCTTCATGGAGGGTGGAGTCCTTAGAGGGCTCTGTGCAGGCAAGGGGGTGCAGGGGATCCTAGGTGTTCCCCCACACTTCCCTCCTCCCTTACAGCAGTGGTACAGCCTCTGCGGGGTGCCCTGAAAGGTGTGGGTGGTGAGGGTGTAGAAATCAGCTAGCTGGAGCCCCATGCTCTCTGGGCTGCTTGTTGGGGGAGTAAGTAGACCACTGGCCACCTCTTTCCCAGAACTGTTATGAACTCAGCCGTGTGAAGCTGTAGCAGATAGGTGGGTGCTGAGCCCAGAGGCACGTGTGGGGGTCTTTGCAAGCCTGGGGCCTGAGAGACTGGGGTGGAGCTGGGGTGGGACCTGAGAGGCCGGGGTGGGGCCAGAAAAGAGTCTGTGGTTCCTTCTCTACCACAGTCAATGTTGATGGGTGGGGTCCTGCAGGGGAAGCAAGGAAGGGGGCTCAGGTTGGGTAGGGCGGGGCTGAGCGTGTGCTGCTGTCCAAAGTGAGCCAGGCCACACCTCTCTGCAGGTGCAGTGTCCTGCAGGGTCTGGGAGGTGGATGTGGGGACCACTCGGCGAGCCCCTAAAGCCCGCGAACATCGGAGGCACACCATCACCAATGGCGTGGACTGCGACCTGGTGAGTGGGCTCTTTCAGCTGTCCTCAGTGAGGGGCAGGCCCAGTCCCCCAAGGCTGGGCCCACGGTTACTGGGAGTTTGTGGTGGAAATCAGGGCAGGGCCAAGCGCCTCTCTCCAGACTGAAACATGGAAGGGTAAGACTGGTTTTGGGGAAAAGGCAGGTTAGGGTGCAGCTCGGTGGGCTTGGGCCCCTCCTGAAGACCATCTGCCCAAGTCCCTTCCTTAGGCTTCTCAGCCAGCCTCCACCCTCACTGGGTTCTCGCTGCAGACAGCCAGGCCCCTGAGGCCAGGAAACTGAGCACAGGGACAGCAGAGGGGCTGAGGGGCCAGACATCTTTACAGGGTGAGCAGCTGTACAGGTGTGTCTGCAGGTTAGCACTGTTGTGCACACCTGCATGTTGTGCCTTTATGTGTCCACACTGCAGTCCCCTGTGCATACAGGCGGTAGTCTGTGCGTGTGGGTTAGGCATGTGCACAGGTATGTGACAGGTGTGTGACAAGAGTGTGCTGGGCATGTGCACACACGAGTGATGGGTGCCTGCTCGGGCATGTGCTGGCCGTGTACACCCATAACTGATGAGCGTCTGTCCACGTGCAACAGACACATGTGTGCACACATGCATGACAGGCGTGCATTTATTGCAGCTGAAACAGCTGAAGGAGCTTGAGCAGGAGCAGGAGGTGTTGGTGCAGGGCCTGGAGCTGATGGCGCGCGGCCGAGACTGGTACCAGCAGCAGCTACAGCGCGTGCAGGAGCGCCAGCGCCGCCTGGGCCAGAGCCGGGCCAGCGCCGTGAGTGACACTGCGTCACCGTATGACACACGCATGCGTGGTGTTGGGCCCGCCCCCAGGACCCGCCCCCCAGGACCTGTCCCCAACACCACTGACCTATCCACCCCCACCCCCTGCAGCAGCACTCACAAAGGCTCTGAGCACCAATCTGGGGGACAAGAGGGACCCTTTTGAGACCCCTACCTGGCACAGCTCTCTGACCACCAATCTCACATTCCTTCCAGGACTTGGGGGCTGAAGGGAGCCCCCGCCCACTGGGGCGCCTGCTGCCCAAAGTGCAGGAGGTAGCCCGGTGCCTGGGGGAGCTTCTGGCTGCCGCCTGTGCGGGCAGAGATGATACCCCCTCAGAAACCCCCGAAAGAGTGAGTGCCCGTGATCTGGAAGGGGAGGGCTCCCGTGCCTTGGCCCGAGGCCATTCCTCCCTGATTGTGCCCTCCCACAGGCTCTGCCCACCTCCTCGGGAGCCCCGGGGGCTCCTTCACCCTGCGTGCCCCCCTGGCCACAGCAGACCATCCTCATGCTGAAAGAGCAGAACCGCCGCCTCACCCAGGTGAGCAGTGGGGAGGGGCGAGGCGGGTCAGTGTGCTGGGCACTGAGCATCGCCCCACCTGCCCCTTGCCTCGTAGGAAGTTACGGACAAGAGCGAGCGCATCACCCAGCTGGAGCAGGAGAAATCGGCCCTCATCAAGCAGCTGTTCGAGGCGCGCAGCCAGCAGGAGGCCGGACCCTTGGACTCCACCTTCATCTAGCTGTTGCCAGAACAGCCACGTGGACGTGGACCTGCCACGGGCCAGCCCCTTTGCTGTATCCCCCCCAGTCCGGATAGCCTGGCTGTCCAGCCCCACTCAGACAAACCTGAGGCTGCTATGCCACGGAAGAGGAGTCCCTCCTCCGCCACCTGGACTCAGGCAGCTCCACCTCCATGTTTACAACTGTGCTGTCCCCATACCCTGAGCCTGGGATCCAGCCCAGGTCCTTAGTAAAGGTACTGTCACACCAGGCTGCACTCCTGTCAGTGACCGGCAGAGGGCATGAGGCAGTGTGGAGCCAGGCCCTTTGTTGGGATCCCGAGGACCTTGCTCAGATGTGGGGCAGGATGCTGGCTGGCATCCTCGTGGGACTGGCCTTGGGCCAGTTTCCTCATCCCAAACCAAGGTGACACAGATGAAGTGACAAGCAGAAGCGACGCGGGTGGAGGGGTAGGAGACCTTGGGGGGCCCAACCAGCACTTGTTTCACTGAGGGCGGTGGGAGGCCTCAGGGAGCTGGTGCATGACAGCGGAGGCTGAAGGTGCACCTGGCTACAGTGGAATGCACTGGGCAGGTTCCTGGAGCAAGGCAGAGGGGGGAGGCTCTGAGCCAGCCTGGGCCCCTCAGATCTTGCACGGGTCTGCAGCTAGGACCCTGGGGGTGACCTGGAAGGGTTAGAGGCCTGCAGGATTCAGTTCCAGAAGTGTCTCCCCTGTTGGGCTTCCAGTCCCAGGACTGAGCATTGCTGGAAAGGATTGCCCCTCGAGGGGTGACTGCCTGGGCCATCTGAGCACCCCTACCTAGAGGGATTTGAGGTCTGGGGTCCTGCCCAGTACTCCCTCCCCTACCAACGCCACACCAGGTTTGGGTGCTCACTTCTTTCTCCTAATGACAGAAAAGCAGAACGTCCAGGCTCAGGAGGACCTCCCTGGGGTCCCCACCACACCTGAGTGGCCACCAGCAGTGGGGTGATGGCCCACAGGCCTAGACGACAGGAGGAGCCTGGAACCTCTCAGGTAATGGGAGTTCTGGGGCATGTCCCAAAGTCAGTGACCCGGTCATGGTGCCAGTGTGCAGCAGGACTTGTGTTCTGTGTCCCTACAGCCCCAGGAGACATGTCAGTTGGGCAGAAGGGGCTCGGCTCATATTGACCGTTGTCAGTGCTCTCAGCCTCCAAGGTGGCACCAGGCCTCCTGGGGTGGGGTGGGGGGTCTTCCAGGGCCTTCCCTCTGTCTCAGGTCTGCAGCTCTGGGCCCAGCTCACAGATGCGGGTCAGGGTGAGTGTCTGGGAACCTCCCAGGTCCCCTCTTTCTAGGGGGTATCCTCTTCCAACAGCTTTTTATCTCAGAGCCAACGACGGCTCTAACACTGAACCTGCAGACCTTCGTCAGCCCCTCCGGTGACTACACCAGAGCAGGGGCACCCCCTTGTACTGCCACTTCATCAGGCTGGAGCCCCCCTCGCTTCACTAGGCCCACTCCACCAACCCCCCACTCCAGGCATGAAGTACAGGGGTGCCCTGTCTGCAGGGCCCAGCCATCAGACCGCCTGAAATTTTCAGACCCAGAATTTTCCATGGTTCTGAGGAAGCTCATCCTGTAGAAAATGGCTTGGGGACATTTGCTTCATTGTTTTTTCTTAGATCTGTGAGAATTTTATTATTGTGGCAAAATATACATATCATGGAATTTGCCATTTCAGTCTTCTTTTTTTTTTAACAGACCATATAATTTTATTAAAGCAGCATCAAAAAATATGGGCCGCATCACGGATTTGCGTGTCCTTGCACAGGGCCGTGCCAGTCTTCTCTGCACTGTTCCAGTTTTAGTAAATGTGCTGCCAAAGCGAGCATGCATTTTTTTTCTTTATTTTTTTTAGCTGATATTGGAACGAAAGTTTACAGAAAACTTGGATGTCCATTCATTCATTGTTGCACAATTTCCTTTCTCCCCCTGTCCCCCCCCATCCAATTTGCTATGCACTTCTTATTCTGGGCTGTTGTCATGCAAATGATATCTACTAATATTTCTTTAAAACAATTCTTTCCCTCATCTACTTAAAAGCAGGGTTCATTATTTATTCCCTCTTTTCTTAGTTTCTACCCAAACCGCCATGTTAGTCCTGTTTTAAAATAGTGGCATTACATAGTATTTGCCCTTTTGTGACAGATATCTCGCTCAGCATAATGTCCTCCAGAGTCACTCATTTTGATATTTTATGAGTTCCTTGTTTTTCGGTGCTGTGTAGTATTCTATTGTGTGAATATACCACAATTTCTCTATCCATTCATTTGTTGGTGGGCATTGGAATTGTTTCTGGCTCTTTGCTATTGTGAACAATGCAGCAATAAACATGGGTGTGCATATATCTGTTTGGGTCAGTTATTTCTAAGTGTGCACTTCAGTGGCCTGAAGTACATTCCCAATATGTGTGTGACTTCTAGTTCCTGAAACCCACCTGCGACTTGACCTCCCTGTTCCATGGTGAGTGGGAAAATGCTTCCCCCACATTGGCAGCCAGAGTGGGGCCCTAGTGTGGCACAGAGACGTCAGGCTGGCACCTGGAACAGTAGCTGGCTGGGGACCGAGCTCTCCAGGACCAGATTCTCCATCTCAGCATGGGTGGCATCCTGGGCATTTCTTGCTGGGGGTGGGACTGTCCTGTATTGTATGTTGGCAGCACCTCAGCCCTATACCGGGGGATGCTGGTACAGTACTTCCTCACGGTGTCACGGTCCAGACATTGCTGGATTCCTGCAGGGATCAGTGCTCTGGAGGAATGTGGGTCTGAGTTCTCGGAGGTGACGATTCCAGACAGAAAGAGCAGACTCCATAGCCAATCAGATGCAGAGAGTGATAGTTCAGGCCGAGTCTCCAGGCAGCTGCCTCTGGGACTCTGGGCTGGTGGGGTAAGGCGGTCACACCCTCCGTGAGGTCTGATGTGGCATAATCATTCGTCGATAGGATTACCTGTGTACAGCACACCAGTCAGCTGCAGCCTGCACTGAGCACACAGGCAGAGTGGTGGGTCTGGCTTGCTCTATGCCTCATCTCACATCACATCTTTGGCACCTCCTTACCTGCTGGCCTTGAGTCCATCCATCTCCACAGCTATGTGCCACAGACATGGGACTCGCCGACTGCCGTAAGTAGTTGACTTTAAAAAATAAACAAACAAACAAATAAATAAAGTGATTTGAGAAACATTTACAGAAAGGTTGGGTTTTCATTCATTGATTGTAGCAAGTAGTTTATAGTTTACTTTTAAACCATCTGTATCATGCAAATTCATTGCCGTCAACTTGGAACCAAGCCCTAGCTGAACCTCCGCTGGGTTCCAAGGGTGCAAATCACAAAGGAGTTTACTCATCTTTCTCCTTCAAAGCTTCTGGTGGTTTCAAATTGCCAGCGAGGTGTTAACTTTGGGTTAGGAGCACCAGTCCCTACAGACTAGGCCATCGGAGCTACTGAAGCTTAGTACCCAGGCTTCTACTAAACCATGACGTGGCCTTTTACTGGCTGAGACCTGGAGACACAGAGCTGCTGAGGGGAAAAAAACCAGCGACAAAGTGAGGCACTTGGGACGAGGTAAAAGCCAACGCCCTGTTGTTTATTTCTCAGTATATATAGAAAATAGAAACATTTTATTATTACTAAGTTTCTCACTGCAGAGCAAGCAGTTACCTCTTTTAAAACCTGTTTTCAATATAGTTGGAGCTCTAGAATAACTTGCCCTAAAAATCCTAACACATAAGAAACTTATTTCTATTTTCTGCAAGTTCTCAAGGACAGTGTTGTTGTTGTTGTTATGTGTCATCGAGTCGCCTGCGACTCATAGCGACCCTGTGTACAACAGCCCTAAACTCCGCTCTGTCCTGTGCCAATCGCACTGTCTCTGACACTCCCATC